TACGCATGGCCTTATTTTTCCGCTAATTGGAGTTTCTTCTGGAATCTTTTTTGATTTTATTGTATTATCTCCCTTTGGTGAATTGTTTGTGGCTAAGGCTGAAGTTTCATCCTTAACATTATATTTATTTGCTTTCTTCTCCCTTATATTCGCTTAACTTCTAACAACTACTTCATTTCTCAGTACTAGTCTTGTCAAATATTGTCCGATATCTTTAACTGGCTTACTCGTCGACTTCTCTTTCAGTTGGTATAATTTATCCACTATCCACGCTGTTAATTTATTCTCTACTGAAATTTCATTATTTGAATCTTTAAATTTCCACCTGTAGCTTCCAGCTGTCAAAATATTCTCTTCTGTGGCTTTGACGATTGCTTTCCAATCACGATCATTTCTTTTGGTGGAATTCAGTTCATTATAAAGTGGTTTTTTTACAATGAAAAGTTTACCATACTTTTCCATTAGTAAACCTATTGTTACATCGTAGTTTCTGGCGCTATATCAAAATCCCTCACAGCTAGCAATGCATCTCCTTTAAGACAAGATATCACGTAATTCAACTTCTGAATGTCTGGGATGTTTTGCTCATGAACAGTCGCCTTGAAACTATAACAAAATTGTAGGAGTTTTACCTCCTCTTGATTCGTGAGAATCATACTATCATACTATTCTTTAAAATTTGCTTACAATGTCGAAATATTGTAAAGGTTTTCTAAGCTAATAGTCATTCCTTAAGAAACTACAGTATTAAAACCCATCTCTTACTATATAAAGAGTAAAGATCATCTGATACTCAATAATCATGCTGTTGCTGCAAGTCAGACCCACTATATAAGGGTCTAAACCTTTTGTCTCAATCAACTTCTCAGTTTTATCAGTTTTTTCCTTACCAGTAAGCTACAATTCTGCTGCTCTTCCTCACTCACAATTCAGCTCATTTCCCGACCAATTTATTCATTTATCCATTTTCTTCATTTCATTTGTAGATATTCTACAAAATTATCAATATTGCTGCTATAGATTTACCTATATATTAATACCTATATATTATTGTTGTTAACAAATAAAATCCTTACAACAGACCTATCATTCAACGCATTCATTTATGCCAGCTACAATAGCAAACAAGTAAGGCTGTTGAGCATACAAAAGTTCAATTCGACTCTAAGTCACAAAGTTATATTCAGACTGGAACCTTAATTTTTACGACAAAGTTTTACAGTATAAGCATGGTTAAAATAAAATTTATCTACAAGCATTATTTGCGAAGGGTTCACGGACATATTTTCTACCCTTATTTTACTTTCATTGGTATTATTTTTAATATTTTAGAATTTCGCGACAAGCTGTGTCTCTATCGTTTGTTCAGATGACGCTAAGAATTTTTGCTGATGCTTCCTCTATTCGATCGTGTTTGGCTATCGCTTTATTGAAGTTTTTGTCGTTGGTTCCTTTGTTTCATTCATTGACAATGTAACATTGTCTACTTATAAGTATTTTCTGATTTGCCTTCCCATAGTTTCTACACGGTGCTTGAGTGTAGCCGGTAGTAAAAATGGTGACGATATAATTCCAAAAAGAACTCTCTTAAACCGATAATTTTTCGGTTTTCTTTTGTCACTAAATATATAATACTTTTTTTTTCACCTTCCTGTGGTAAGGATGCAGTTCCAATTGCTAATAAATCCGGAAGCATTATGGTTCCACTATATAAAGCTCCATTCAAACTTCTTGTTCTTTTAAGTTGGGCAGAAGCATCTTGGACTACTCTAAGTTTTGTTATGGATTTATAAGGAGATATAACTTCATGATGAGGCAAATAGTGAATTGTGTCTTTTCAATTCGCGTTTGAATATAAACTTGCAGCTGTTCTTTGATTGTTTCAGTCTATAAGATGGCAGTCTATAGGCTAAAGACTATTAATGACTCTAACATCACCGACTGTTTCATTTAAACTTGTGTCATGAATCATCATAAAACATTTCCAATTTGCAATTAATCTTGTGTGTATTGATAATATGCTGTAAAAATGTCATTATGCCTGATAATTTATTCACTCATCTAAAGGTCTCCTGTTGGAAATCAAAGTCGACTATATAGAAAAAAATCCACTGTCTAGATCAGTCTTTAGTCACAGCAGCCTTTACTCGATTCGTCTCAGCACTCCCGCCTCACCGGAAGAATCTTTAACATATGGAAACTTCCAACCAATTTCTCTGCTATAAACTGTCTGTGATATTATTTGATACTATTTAATAATTCTCATAAAGCCGAGCAATAAAGTTTTTATTCGAGTATTCGTTTCCATCATCTAAAAAACTACAAGGACATCATCATTAGTCAAAGAAATTCCTGATAGGACATATGTTCTGCTCTAAATTATTGAACATTCTGAAAGAATGCAAAGTAGTGCTTCATTCCCAATGCATTTTTAGATTTATGCAAATCCAAGTGTTATGCGAAAAAACTTATCCAGCTATGCCTAGCCTATGTACTGTTGTGAAAAATTTGAAGATTTAAGAATATTACTTTTCGGGAGACGTTGTTGATTTCGGGATGATTCGCTGGATGAAGTGTAAATTTGTAGAATAACAGAGGAATATAATAATTCCTTTATTAGAAGAAATAAAGTACAATGATTTGACAGAGACGAGTCGTAGTTGTATCACAAACTTGTCGAAAGCGAATCCGTCGTTTCCTTTACCAAACTTGTCGAGAGGCGAAGACTCGTTGATCTATCTTTGTTCTTAGATCAAACAAACAATGCTCCCTTTTTTGGCGCTTAGTGAAAACAATGCCGCCTTATTGATAATACAAAATAATGGCACCTTATTAATGATTATAGCAAGCAAATATGAAGAAACAAAATATATGTAGTAGATAAAAAATGTTACATGATAGCACTGCTAAAGAGTAATCGGTCTTAAAACAAAAAGCTCAAAGTACAAACATTACTTGTAAAATTTCATATATCGTATTTCTTACTCTCATATAGTAGTTTAGTGTTTTGCGACACGTACGGTACCACTGAAACCAAGCAAAGTATCCTCTATCGGCCTGACAAAACCTAAAGTAAGCTGTGTTATCTGCAATGTACATATTTTCAGCAATATTTCTTGTAATGGATGAATCAGTTAGCTAGGCAAATATTAAAAAACAGATCAGTTGGGAAATTGATAAACAATTGATGCGAAGTTTATTTCAGACAAATATTGCAAGGAAAAAAAGTAGTACAAAAGCAAACAATTCCATTATGCCGAGCAATATATTTTTTTGACGAAAGGAACGCAAAAGAACTTACAAGTATCTTGAAAACCAACGTATATCATAGCTCACTCTAAAATACTGATAACATGATTTCAGGTTGTGTTACCCAATCTTTTTCTATTTTTAGTTTCTTAATGCGATTCTTCAAGGACGACTCACGACATTGTGAACTTTTTGAAGTGGGTCATTTTTATCTACACTTATCGATTCGATTGATAACCTTTCTTTACTTTAATTTTATTTAATAAATGATTGACACCAAATTTAAAGAACTGGTAATGTACAAAAACTTTAATTCTGATAAATATAGCAAAAGTATTATTTTGTGCTAACATTATTGCATGAGCGGTACAATGAAGTTATACTGATCCTATTGGAAGAGAATTTAAGTGATCTAATATAAGAATCAAACCATAGTTTTATTTCAGATTTTGGACCAACTAAATTAGAATTAGACCTTTCCATTGGTACAATTATATATATCACAAGAAGAGTCGGCAACGAATGTTAATGAAATGGGCAGAAAACTGCTGCAAAAGTACTCACCGAGTAGGAACCTGGGAGCAACTTAAGTCAAAAAACCAACGTACGTTTCTGCAAAGGTAATTCCATCATTACTGCTTTAGAAAACGGCGGAAAATCTTTTCAAATGTTCTTTAGCAAGATTTAAAATTTCACAGTGCGTCTTATAAAATTTGCATTCCAAAGCCAAAAATGTGGTGTTTGTCTTCGTTGGGGATGCAGATTCGGACGGGTTTGTTCCTGCATGTTTGTGGTATCATGGGACAAGTGCGCCTATACTTTTTTTTTTTTTCAATGCATTGAAAGATCTGTTATATTACCTTGAATTCCCTACAATATGTACACGGAGTAAAGATTTTTTCTTAACTTTATCCTAAAGTTTTGAAACTGAATGTGTGAGCGATTCGGAAAATACTTTTTGCTTAATTCTCAAAATATCTCAGTACCACAATAAATTCCTTTAATTTTCATGAGGTGATTTCAGGGACTATTGGGAAGTGTGTTACGGTGACTTATGTGCCAAAACCGCATCGTTGTGGGTTAGTGCTAATAATAAATCGACTATCTTCCAGAGAAAAATTTTCCAGTGAGGGGAATCTTCCACAAAAATTTTGGCGATTTTTAATTTTTTTTAGGTAAAAAGTTCAAAAATCAAAAAATGTTGGTGAATTAGACAATTCTCAGCGTTTCGTATTTTTCCTGTTTTTTCTTTGCTGCTTCTGGCAAGATTAGTCACAACCAAGGAAGTGGCTTATTGATTAGGAAATATCGCTGATGGACGAGAAAACAGAAAATTATTGCATTTTGTGAAATTTGAGAAAGCTAAATTTTAAGTGGATTTTATAGATCAATTAGAGGCCATGTAAATGCAAATTTTTGGTTTTTACTACTGTAAGGCATGGTCCACGGAAGGTAGGTACGAAAGTTGTAAGTATTGTAAAGTGGTAGGATTCGTTGGTTAACATCTATTCGAGATTTTTCAGAGTATCAGTGTCGTACTAACTTGTGATTGTATTCATAGGATGCACTGGTTTACTAATTATCAGGTTTTGTGTGTTTTGATGCATGACTTTGAAAGTATTATGTTGTTTTTGCATCATGACTGTCATTAAAATTCTAAGTTGCAATTACAAGTCCACGGATACATGAGAGTCTATACGAAGAATTTGTTATTTGCGACTTCCATAGTGGTCACACTTCGTTTGTTATATATGATTGGAAACCGACCATGGATGCGAATAAATCAGTGTGAGATGACTTATATGTATCGTGTTATGAACTTCATGGTACACGTTTTGCAGATTTTCAAGATTATTTTGTATATAATTTGAAGTTATTTTCCGAATTTAAAAGTGCTTCAAGTGATTTGACATTGTAGCGCATTAATATTGGTCTCACAAAATTGAAGCATGATCAAACCGAAGATATTAAATATCTGTTTTCGAATGATTTTAGTGGTTACTCGACGATTTTATATGGTGAAGGGGAATATGCTCGCAATTACATGTATAGTTTACTTTTTAAAATGCTAATTTATTAAGGTGCTGGGAAATGCATATCAACTATGTTTGGTTTGACTTCATTTTTTATTGTAGGAGGACCAGACAGGTTAGTGGAATTCCTATCATTTTTGTTCCTGGCAGTGCTGGTTCTTCCAAGCAAGTTCGTTCTCTAGGGTCAATACTCCACAATAAGACCGAGAGTAGGAATTTACCGTTCACATTCGATGTCTTTGCCATTGATTTTAACGAGGTTCGTTCCAATGAAGTTTTGCTTTTACAGATTTCATTTCTGGGTCTTATGAAATATGAATAATGATTTAACGTCGTATATGCCAAGAAGAAAGGATTCAAGTTAACTTAAAACTTGATTTCATTTATTTGTTAAAGTTTTTTTTTTCGGATATTTCACAATTTTAGGAGTTGTCAGGTCTGTCTGGTATGTATTTGGAACGGCAAATCAAATATCTCGATTTGGTGGTAAGACATATATGGACCATGTATTCACCCCCACCTCATGGTATCATATTTGTTGGTCATTCAATGGGTGGTATTGTTATACGATCGCTGTTGCATAACATTCGTTTCGATCCTAGCCGAATTGCATTTATTGTAACTTTGGGGACACCGCACAAAAATGCACGTATGTTTAGAAGTTTCTATTAAAAAATGGTAGCATCTGATTTAATTGTATCTTGCATTCCATGTCTTTTCAGCAATGGTTTTTGATTGGTATTTGGAAAATATTTATGACCGAATGCATAAGAATTGGAGAGAGCATGAAAAAAAATTGGCCAGTCTCTTAGTCTTATCAGTTTCGGGTGGTTTGAAAGATCATCTTGTGCCAGAACATTTTACTCTTGATAATGGTGTTCGCCATATTTCGACTACCGCTATTGATGGCATTGAACTAGAGACCGATCATCTTTGTATTGTTTGGTGTAACCAGTTGCTTAGGTTTGTTATACACATTTGGGTTATCCAACTATCATAACTTATTAGTAGTTGTTCTAGTTTACAAGATTTTGAGCATATGATGTTTTCATCGATAAATTTCTGGACTAGGCTAAATTTTAAAGATGTTTTTCAATTATTGTCCAGGTATATCTCCCGCCTGGTGGTTGAATATGCTTACGATCCAATTTCGTTTCAAAAACATGCTGATAACATTGTTAAGCAACTTTTTGATGCCGATGGGCTTTTTCGGGAGCTAACACGTATGAAAGTTGGTACAAGTACTGCGATTGTCATCAGGAATGATTTGATCTTTGTAGGTATAAAAAACTGTATAAGTACTTAGTTATGGATACTATATTCTTATAAGTTAATTAATTATTTTCATCTGTACTTGTTTATTGAACCCACTCAGTATTTCGTTTTTATTAAATTCACTACCCCATTCTTCTATATTATGTCTTTTCTTTATCCTGGACTAGTTATCATTTTCAATACTCTTTGGCCTGCTACGGTAATAGCCAGCTTTAATTGTAATCATATTTTTGAATGTTTTCTTATAATCGTGACTACATTCATACACTTGTGAATTTAAGCTTATTTCACCTGTCAGGTAAAAAATAATGGTGGAGATCTAAAAGAATTCGTCTTATCATTTCCAAAGAACAGCTGGTTGTTCATTGAAAGAAGTATTGGGAGTTCGTTATGGACATCATCCGGAGAACCTATTTATAATTTGAACAGTTTGCGACAAACGTTTTACACACTTGTACATTCAAATGTTACAGAACAGATTTCGGTACATCTGAAACCTGGAAAGTTTTTTAAAGCCGTTGCACTTCAAGAGGATCCTGAAAAGTTTAACTCTGTATGGTATCGAATCGTTATGCATTTGTTGAGCATTGATTTTTTTTTTTAATTGAAAAACTTCGGGAATATTTATGGTCTCAACATATAAGTTTTTGAGGTTTTTACACCATTTTGGAAACTTATGTTAAAATTCAGCTCCAAATTAATAAATTTTTGTGGTAGTTTCTCATAAATACGTCTTATTAGATTCAGTATTAGACTTCAGAGACTTTAATATGTTTTAGGTTGTGCATATTGAATTACTGTCACTACTGAAAGGTTGCTTCACATTTTTATGGGAAGCCAACTTTGAAGAGCGTGCATCTGCTGTGTTATTGCCAGTTTATTTCGGAACTCCAGTTATTGCCATTGTTATATCAATTGAATTAGAATCATGTATGCGTACAAATGGTTAGTTTTTGTTATTCTTAAATTTTTAAAGAAGCAGTTACATATTATTCATCGTTACTAAAGCTAAAAAAATGTTTTCTATCTGATTTTTCGAGCATCACTGTTCAGTTCTTAAACTTAGCTAGCAAGTTTTGAGTAAGTCAGGCATGATTTTCCTCATCATTGTCTTTCATAGCACTGAAGGTTTTGTTTTTGATTGACCTAGTTTATATACTTTATGGCTCACCTAGCTCCAGAATTAATTTGATTCCTTTAAACAGTTGCAAAAATTGTTGTTAATTTAGTTTTTAATAGAATGGTTCGCGAAAGTTGAGTTCCGAGGTCAGGATCTACGACGTATAAGCAGTCTTGGTTCAAATAAGGAACTTCATGTAATTGGGCATTTGCTTAGTAAGGAAGAAACAAAGGCGGAAATATTTTTCATATTAAGTCAGCGCTGCCGCTTCCATGCACGCCTGGATATCAGTTATTTAGATACTATGATTGTGGTATATTTTATATAATTACATCAGTGTGAAATTAAAATTCATTTTAAATTTTTTCTAGGCTCTTTAAATGGGCAATCTTAAATTATTTTTATGCATTCAATTATAAGATCATTTGTAAGATAGGTAGGCAAGAACTATTTAGAATCAAGTATAGAGTTTTTTCGTCTCGTCGTTCGTTTGCCTTTTTTTTTTCAAAATTTAAGATGCTTCGAATGTATGGATCCATCATCCCTTACATGTTAAGTATATATATCCTCAGTACATTGTCGATTTGCACTTTAACTGGTATGTTGTTTTAAGTTATGTTATATTATGTTAACTAAATGAGAATTTCAGTACTGAAATATTTCTTGTGTAGAATACTGATGGTTGAAAAAGATATTCTTACTCTCATTTTCAGAGGAATATTATTCGAATATCCGAGATTGCAAAATAATATGCCTTGTCTTGATTTGTCACACATCCATGATTTATTGGAGTAATTTGTTGGTTTTATATATATATATATATATATATATGGGAAATTACGTGAAATCATGCCTTACTGTTTTAATGTTAATAAGCGCTTTTCCTGAGGGAACGTGAAGAAATCTCTTTTACCTAGTAACCCTTGTAATTTTTATAGTATTTACAGAGTTGATTGGTTTACTCTGTTGATCTCGTCTTTGCTGATTTCATACTTTACTTATGTTATTCAGAAACTAACAGATTTATTTATTCGACTAATGAAGAACAGGTATTCAGAAAGGTGCTTAATTCGTTTTCCGATGAATTCATTAATTTTACTAATAAACACTTGTTGAATGTGATACGATATGCGCATACATATATGTAATTAGGTGTCCATGTGTGCTTATTAATTGCTGAAAAATATGATAACGCAGTTAGCAAACTAACTAGGTTTATTTAGCAGTATGAAATGTTCAAAACGTCCTCTTTAACAAATTTGTATCTTTGTTTAATTAAATCCTCGAAGACATTTCTTTGTCTTGTTTGTGTTTTATACTATGGAGGCTATTGAAATCGTTAAAGCAGCTTGCATAACTCCGATTAGTCCTAAATTTAGTGAAAGATATAGTTTTTCTGAATTAATGATCTGTCCTTTGGTATGGAAAAGCTGCAAATTTTATTTCAGATTTGTGAAATCGACATGTTTTGACTTGAATGGATTGGCAGTTGTTGCAATATCATTATTTATAAATTATTCATACAACGGTTTTTTTGCGTTGTTAATAGTAGTCCTGTCCAGTTTACTGGTAAATTACATATTGCAGCATTATTTTGGTAGTGAAATGAAGTTATGATCTCACAGCACCAGTCCTTTTAGAATCGTTGTAAGTAGTAAAAAAAACAACACTTTTATTTCCACTCATTTTAAATTTCCTCAACTTTTAATATTGACTGGAAAATTTTTATTTGAAAATTTATTTGTTTCCTTTTCAGCAACTTCTGAAGACAGCGATTTCTTTAAAGACTGTTAGTCTTTCTAGTTTCTCGCAACCAGTTATATTGGTTATTTTCCATTTTTATGCAATTTTGGTTTATACTCCATTTGGTGTCTGTTCACTATGGAATATAATTAGATATGGTTTATTTGCTGTTTATGAAGATCCAGCTCGTGTGCCAGCATACTGGATGGCTTTCTTGAAGCTTATTCGACTTTCGGTGGGCAAAATCCACTTCTTCAAAGCAGTATGTTTCATTAATTTTATTCCTTCATAAAAATGCACGGCGATATTGAATAGACTGATTTTTTCTCTAAATTGTGTTGTTTGTTTCAGTGTTATTTGTTTCTTTTGATTTATATTCATTACTTTTGATGTAGATGAAATAGCTACATTCATCTCCACATTGGGTTTCTGCTTTTTCTAAAAGAGTCAAGATTTATAGAATTACGAGCGACCATGTTAACTATTCTAGAATTATTAGTGAGTTTTTGTTGATGTGGTCTGAAGTCATTATTTTTTTTCAACTAAATTTTGTGTTGTTTTTTTTAATTTTTGTCGCATCAAAAAAACTGAAGACTGAATCTTAATAGGTTCATCTTGGTGTATTGTTTATGATTTCTAATCATCCTTCAGAAGTAGTATGGATTTGATATTCTTTTTTTACTATTTTCTACTATTACATATCATGTTATAATCAAATCTTTTTGAAAATTAAAGTTGATTCTTTCTAGAAACCAACTTTGTGGTTTATTAAATTGTTTCTTGTCTGTTACGTCTGTTCACACTTGCAGCATTACATTTCTGTAGCTGTTTTAATGTATACCTTCCTCACCCAACCGTCTACATGTATTGAGCAGCTGGGTTTTTCATTCATTGCAATAATTGGACTCAGTTGGTTTGTGACTCAGAGCGAAAAAAAGTCAAAAGAGGAGCATTAGCTGGTACCACTTTTTTTTTAACGAGCTATGTTCTTATACAGTATTAAGAAAATTCCTATTCTTTTAATTAAAATTCATGTAAGTCATGCAAGAAGTCAATATTGTGTTTCTTGCAGTTAAATAGGTCTTAGAGTTAGATTATAAATTTGGAACTTTGTTGCAGAACGTCGAGAAACCAGTTTCCCACGCATTCTGCGACACACGCTTGAAATATTGTCTTCTGAATCTCTGATTTCACGGAATATTATCACGATGACATTACGAAAAACAACAGCTAACTTGCGTACCGTAATTTTCTTTCTTAATCGCCGCTGGTGCGACTTTTTGTTGTGTATATTGGAGCAACTTGAACTGTTGTTTTTTGACCTCTATTATTTATGTAACTAGTACTTCTGTTTAAATTTATGCATAATTTTACCAGAAGTCATGTAGGAAACCTTTAGCTTTTTCCTCCAGCTAATTAATCTGGAATTAACGGATAATTTTGTGCGAGCAAAATTGCTCGGCTTTACGTATCCCCAACATTCCTCCTGATCGCCCTATTGCTTCCGATTGGTCTTATCACAAATGTATATGGATATTTGGCAAATATTCATGATATTTAACCAAGCACTATGGAAACCAGAAGCGCGATCAATATACAAAAAACGTAGAGATTTACACGATCCTTGGGGAGCAGGTGAAACTTCCCAAGGATCCTAGGATTTGCTCCTAAGCATTCTCACGCTCTTCGTATTCTATTCTTCTGAACGCACTGTAGAAACTCTTATACACCTAAAGCAGAGTAAAACTGAATTCGCCGATGAACGATCCGGTTTCAGTGATATCTTGACTTGCATCTAACAGTGGAAATGACGCGAAAGGGGTTGACTGCGTTCGAAGTTCATGAAGCTGGAAACTGCATATACTCACAAAACGACGGTTTATTTTAAGTAACAAATATCCGAAATCCGAACAATCACATATTTCTATACATGAAAAGGACATATCAATCAGTTGTAACAGGCAAAAACCTAGATTTAAATCTAAAACTGTTAAGACCCCTCTGCTCCTGCCCCACTCCAAAACATTTGATGGCATGTAATTTTTAATTACATCTCCTGATTCATTGGATTTTAGGACACCGTAATTTAGTAAATCTATTTGTAACCATTACCTTAAGAACCAGTCTTGAAAATGAGTGAATAGATAGATAACACTGACTGCCTCATAATTCTGCCCTAGTTAATTTAGTGAATCTACATGTTTTCCGCTCTTTTGTATTTTCCGATTTCAAAGACGGCGGCACTACACGAAATCCTGTTTGACCAAAGAAATTATCGGATTTGACTGAAGTGAGATTAAATCTTGACCGCCGCATTACAAAGCGAATGATGGATGATAAATACCCTACTGGAGAAACTTATGTACAATAAAGCTTTTCACAGAAGTAAAACACCTTTTTGAAAATAAAGTTGGGAACAAATGAACAAGTTAAGAAAAAATCAAAAGGAAAAAAGAACTGCTTACACGAAAATAAGGAAAAAAAGCACCGCGCAAGTTCACAGAAAAGCTAAAACTTTAAATGTATTTACTTAGTCAAGAAGGGGGCAGGAAGGGAAAGTGTAAAAGACGTTTTAAAAAAAAGATTATTTTCCTATGGTTACATATACGGAAATTCTGTTGAAAATCAACTACAGCAAAGGCGGCAAGAAGGATTCCTAGAGTCGGCCCTTTTTTCGCGCCCACAACGTGCGCATACCGGACCACCGCTTTCGTTCTGAACATCGGTTTCAATCTACAAAAGTAATACAAATTCCATAATTAGATTGGAAGGTAACACGGAATTCCAGTGATGCCACTGGAAATACCAGAGATCACGAAATGAATTAAGAGAGGTCCAACATTAAATAAACAACAGAAGGACCATTTTCCGGTGTGTCAAAAGTCGGTTAAAAAATAAGAACATTACATTTAAAGTGGAACTCACCGGTACAAACAAATTGAATGATCCTAGAGATGAGAAATTTTGTAAAGAATCTATCGGTGACGGCGGTCGAACTGCTGTATTTATTCGCAATTCACGCTTGAGCAAATCAAGTTGTAACAGTGCCTATAAAAATATATTTACCAAAAAGAAAATCAGTTATAATGAACTCACCAGTCAACAAATAGCAAGAATATCAAAATACAGTGCAGTTAAAATCAGAAATTTAAATTTCAAATCGGTGCAACAACAACCTGATCCCGTTCATATAACGCTTTTGACTTGTCAACTTCTGCTTGCTCCGCAACACAACGATAATATTCAGCATCTTTTTTCCATGCTTCGCAAGCCTGACGTGCTTGTTTCAGACCTTCTTCCCATGCAGTTAATTTCTGATGATGGGCAACGAGCTCCTCACTTTTCCTCTTTAATTCTTTTTGTAACTCCTCTTTGCTCATTTCGTGTTGCGGTATGGATAAATCCGTTTTCAAAAGATCTAGAAAGATCAACCAAACCGATTTTTGTTGTTCCCACACAGTCTTCATTAACGTACTCAATCAATCACAATAACCAGAGAAAGCAGGCATCTATAGAATGTTTTTAAAAACTAATGAAAATACTACCAAGATTCCCTTAGATAACAGATAAATAATTTTAATACATAGGAGACATTGGTTTTTCATAACACAAGTCTGTGAACGTTGACGAAAATTAAAAAAAAAAAAGCAAAGTTTGTCCTTATTTCTTTATTAGAAAAGAACTATTTTAAAATTATCAACGTGTTCGATGCTTAATGTACAAAATGATATGGATGTACATGAATAGCACAAAACAGGGAAAACATACCTGAATTCAGCGTTCCTGGTAATCCCATTAACCCCTTCAACTGTGTAGTAGCTGAAGGTAAATCGATAGTCCTTTTATTCTGCTGAAACAGTGACTCGCCAAGGGAAGCTAACGGTGGAGAGCCAAATGGAGAGTTCGAATTGGGGATTTGCATTGGTGAAGAAGATGTCATAGCTGAAAAAAGAAAGAGTTCGAATTGGGGATTTGCATCGTTCTGCTACTTCTATTCCTGTCCTAACAACACTTTCGAAATCTTATTTTCATAAAACGTCTAATATCATGCTTTACACTAAATACAGTCCATCTCGTCCACTAAATTTATTTTGAGTAATCAAAAATTGGAGTGCAGGAAATAAGACAGAAGGCTATTTTTCAGGCATTGTTTTCAACAAATCTAAAGCACTCATATGCAAATTTATGGCTGAATTATTTTATCATCGAGGGCACAGTGTACGACTTTCTTTATGCTCAGATTGTTTTGGTAACGAAGGCAACACTGATACCATAGCAGTTCAAAGATTCCTAACGAAAAAGTAACACTCAGAAAAAAAGCAAAGCTTACGCGGACTGGTGAAAAAATCAGACAAAAATTTGTGTTCCTTTTGTTCGGATATAGGAGAAAGTGCATTGCCAGACAGTTCATCCAAAGAAAGTTCATCAATCGCTGCAGGCAATGTGCGCATTGGTGCATCTGATGTGGAACGAGCAATAGCATTCAACGACGAAAAAGTGGGCAACGATGACACTAAAGCTTCGTTAGCACTTGTTACTGAATATCCTTAAAAAACTTCTTTACTTCATCCAAACAACCTGATAATTATTTACAATACCAGTCATTAACTGTAATATGAACTTGTATTCCATGAATGCCGAAAACTGAACCCTATCCGATATAGTGAACTTTAGAAAGCCAAACAGTACTAACCAGGACTACAATTAACATTAATATTGGAAAGTAAATTTACCTAAATCTAACTGCCCCATATTTAATGAAGAAGTTCGTATGCGACCAATAGCGCTATCCGCTACGCATTGCGGCTAAAAAAAAAACGAAGTAAAAGTAATCCGGTACAAACAGATTAGATCAGTGAGAAATGACGGATATAGGCTACCATATACAATTCAAAGACTAGGAAGTTAGAATTAAGACTTGCCGAAATTTGAACACGTTCAAAGCCTGGAGCTTTCGGATAACTGCTTTGAGACCCCTCGTCGCTACCACCTGATGAAACACTTTTTCCTGGTGTTTGCCTCTGCTTCAAAACTGCCTGTAATCTCATTTTGATTTGTTGTCATTCCTTATCAGAACAGGGAAAATATACCACAATAGGAAGTCCTTACTGAATAGGTAGGTGTTGCAGCTGATGTTGTTGTTTGCATCCCATGATTTTCTGAAATGATCATTGGTAAAAGTTTTAATTAAACGAAGGAAACAAATCAAACTTCTTTAAGAGCGAAAATCACATTACTCCAACCTGGTCGGATCGTAGGAGAAGCTGCAGATTCTGCGTTCCCTGAACTAGTAGAGCTGCTACTCTGTTTCAGCGGCATGGGTGCATCTGGATTGTTACTTGACCGATAATATGGGGCACGTTGTACATGCAACTCGGAATCGTGGTGCGCAAATGCGCAAAACACGGCACGTGGGCAATAACCGTGATCAAGCATATCATTACATTTCGTTGACTTATATATTTCAGGATGGAACTGTTGTTCGGTCCTTGTATGACAGTATCCACAGTCGTCACCATTCTCACATTGTTCTGGTTCTAACCATTCATCTGCTGACTTCGCTGTCGGACATGGAGTTGATCTTAACAGAATTTGAGATAAAATAGAAATAAAACAGCAATCCAGCAATTTTCTCTTGTCTTAAAATGTGCAGAATCTCACCGATACTTATGCACAGCTGGTGGTCTTCGACGATCTTTCGAGTTGTGGTAAAATGGACATGCATAGCCTTGACGGCAAAGGCGAGCTGGTTTTTTGCACTGTTCGGTTTTATAGCATGACAAAACATGAACTTGGTCTGTAAACACTCCACTTTAATGAATGAAACCATTGTGATTTTAAAATAAGACATCGAGAAAAGAAAAGAAAAAAGCATGTAAAATGTTTATAATTCAGAATCCAAGTACATTACCATGCCAAAGAGGGTCTTCCACAACAAAACTAGTTCTTTCGCGATTTTCTGGATCTAATAAGGCGCCATTCTGACTTTCCTGAGAATCGTGCACGGCTTGTCGAAGATCCTGAACACTATGCGCAAACGCACAGTGAGGACCGTTTTTGGCGCAAATACCACGTGCATCTGTTGGATGTACACACATAGCTGTTTTATAATATCGCAAGTGATATTTGCGTTCTACATCTCCCGCTACGCGGTGTAAAAAATTACAACTGTAAACAAAAACGGTTCAAGTAATATATAAAGACTTCACATTAATTGTCTTACTCGGTATTTTTCAAGTATCAACAATCCACGAACTTCAATCGAGGTTCAAATAAATTACATTTTACTGAAATTTCTTAAATGCACCTATCTCCATCCGGGCATATACCAGTATTTTCGTCGTATTTATCACAGTACACATCGGCCGAGTAGTTAAAAGTACCATCCGATCGTCTTACAGGACGACGTCTTCGCTGATTAGCAAAATGCCAGTTAAAACAAGTATATGGGCGATGCTGTTGGCACTGGTGCTGTTTAAACTGCGGACATGCTTCTACTCGAAAATCACGGAGATAACTAAAAACAAAAATAGAGTCATTCAACGACAGCTTATGGTAAAAGACAATTTCCTATAGCTAGGGCAACATTCGGTAACATTTATTTGTTACATGCTGTCCAATCGGTAAGAGCATGGAAATCCATAGTGCTTTTATACTCCGCAAATTACGCTCAAATTACGTCAAATCAAGTAAGATAAGGTAAGAAAGATTGACTAAACGATAATTAAGAGACAACTATAAATTAAAGATAATATTAGGAAAGTCAAAACCATTATGTTTTAAAAGAACAAAAATTGAAGAACTGGAGAATACAATGAAGGGGAAGAAAAGTTCATGAACTATAGAACGGAAAGTGCTTACTGTAAGTGATTCGGTTTCTCGGAGCCGTTAAGTGTTGGGCGGACAACATCCATGGCCACCATCCATGGAAGGGATTATATTCATAGAATTTGGAGAAAAATGTAAACAAAACACAACGCGCCCTTCCCTCCAGCAAAGATACACACTCACATAAGCCTTCCAGAGTATACTGAAAAATCAGCTGACAGCTTGGCGCTTCACCAAACAACACTCGTTCTAAGACCTATATTCTCGCGCGCAATTTCAAAATATACCCAACAATCATTATCACTTTCCTGTCACAGTGCTAAGGAATACTATTATACGTCATCTTCGAACAAATATCTAAACTTTGACAATGGATTTAAATTAAATATCTTTTATATATATATTGGGGAATGTATGTATTAGAGCTACTTTCAGTTCAGGCATTTAACTTTAGTGAATACTAAAAAGAACTTTTAAGTAGTTATTGCTTTGTTATCTATCCGTGCAATATATATTTCTGATACAGTTCAGACCAAGTAAGCAGAATTTCAGTTAAACTAAAACAAACATACTTTAGATGGGGCGAGTGAAGAAATACTAGTGACAAGAAATTACTGACCATTCAATCCAAAAAAGACGATTTTTGAGGTTAAGATTTTTTGTGAGAACTTAGTATAAATAGAGTGGTGAGACACAATAAGTGTAAGCACAGGGAGAGTATTTTCATTAAAACACTGTCGATTTTAAAATACAACTTATTCCGGAATTTGATTTCAACGATTATGAATGTATAACATAACGAAAAACATGGAAGAAAATCGATCAACTCTTCAGATTGATGTAATTATTGCTTTCTAGGGATAGCATTGTATAAGAAAAAATGGATTTGCTTTAATTTCTATAGACATTAAACCCAATTGTTAATCAGTACTGAAATTAACTTCAACGAATTAGATTTCATAGCTTACCACATGTTTTTCCAAAACATTATTCTCTTTTCTGTTTTCAGTTTACGAATGTTCACCTGTTTTAGTTTTCCATAACTCATTTAACTCATACATACCAAACGAGAATTGAAAGAATTTTTCTGTGTATGAACCGGCACAGAAAACGACGCTTCAAGTCAATACCATATGTACTTCCATTCTTGACCAAACACAGATAATCCATAATATTTTTGCAGATATTTGGTCTCCAGCTTTTATAAATATAAAAAATCATATGACATCTGAAATAGCATTTTATGACACATGCAACAGAATGTGTGTCATCAACTACATTTTCCTTAGTGTTTCCATGACTATCCTGAATTTTTACAGTTTAGGAACATTATTTTCATAGTTATTGTCAAAACATGGTTATATGCATCCCTACTTACCCGTACACTAGATACAGCTCTGTTTACCTTTGAAATTTCAAAAATACAGATTTCTGTTGCTGATAAACTATTGCACAGTCTTCTGTGTAAATTGTCACTTTATGGTTTATTTTTGTTTTTTATAATTCCTGGTGGAATCTAAATAGCCATATGAATCATACCGTTTATTTCATTATATTTATTGTCTTAAAATAATAATCACAAGTTTCAGCAATGGAACATAATGCTTGGAAAGATTTGTCGATTGGTAGCCCTCAAATTTTATAATTTTTTTTTTTTTAAATAGGCTACATAAAACTTAAAAATGAGCTATATGTATACATAAAAAAGAGTCGGAAACATTGACTTAAAGTGAAAAGGAGTATGTAATCGTCACCTTGAGTCAATGACGAATCCCAGTGGTGTCGGTGGATTGGTTTGTAATTGCACCCTTGACCAACTTGGTATCCCTCCCGCTGTTGTTGCAATGTGACCGTTGTCTTCTATGTTGCGTGGCGCTTATCGTGTTAGTTACGGGAGTATTATGCATTTTTTTTCGCTGCTATACTTATTGTATGGTTGGTAAAATCCATGGACTTATATTTGTTATGTTAAAATTGGAGATTTGTCTTAAGATGATTTATAATCATTCAGAAATGAGAAATTCAGTTTGCGGTTTGAAAATTGATTGGAGTTTAGTTTGTATTTAAACTTGGATTTATCAAAAAAAAGTGAAAGAAAGCCGTGTGTTACCTTTGCTGAAGCCTTTTTTTTCGATGAATTATTATATATAATATTATATAAAAAATTTTTTCGATGACTTATTATATATAATATATAAAAATTTCACTTTCTGACACTTCCGTATATCGTTAACGCTTCGTTTTAAAATCGACGTTTTTTTTTATTTTAAGATTTAAAATATTTTTAGGAACTTTAAACCACCGTCATTCCGACAGACTGCTGTATCGACGAGCTAAGATAGGTAATCTAGATAATCTGGAAATGCAGTCACAATGTCTCCCCTTCACTATGTTTCCTTTAATTTATCGGGATTTAAATTTTTCATTCGTTCCTCGGTATAATTTGGAGATTTGATTGGACTGTTGTTGAGTGTTTTGGACTATGAGATGTTGTGTTGTTGTCGTTTTGTTTCGTGAGGTAAAAATAATTGCTTCTTTTAGATGTCTTGTTCGTTCAGATAGGATGAATGTCTTTGCCAGTACTATTTCTTTCTGTGGAGTGTTAAGTAACACACAAACATCCATTGATCATTTATTCTGTTTAGGTTTTTTAATTCTTTCATTTTTAGTGTATTCCGGAACACATATGTTATTATTCCGGTGTAATCACAGCGCTTTAGAAAATTACTGTTATGTTTGAATTATTGATTGACACTTTTCTATAAATTAGGAATCGCAATTGTCAGTTGTAAAGCAGGGTGTCGATAGATAACTTGTGCAGAGAGTCTCACATCCCATATAACAGATTTTATTATCTGACTAAAATGAATATATTTCGTTTTGCGGGTGATTCTTCTCATCTTATTGCTATTCTAATAATGATTGTAAAAATATGGAAAACACGTTCTTGTGCAGGTTTGTAAATTTAATAACTTTGTAAGTGAGAAATTTTTAATGTAATCGAAAACTTTATCAAGGTCCTATATACTTTTGGTGTTGCTGTGCATCAAAAGGAATAAGATAATTTCAGGACTTTCTGGAAAATCACAGCTTTTATTTGCATTCGTTTTCACATCGCGTTATTTAGATCTCTTCCATTTCATTTCATCATATAATACTATTATGAAGGTATGCAGGTTTGATTATTGGCAGTACATTTTGCATTCAAATGTATTAGAATTGTTAGTAAATTATTATGACTAAATAATGGATAATATCTATTTTTTAAATGATTGGTGAAGTCTTAGCTAATAGTTAGAGATGGACAGATCCATTATAAAGAATCGATAGCGACTATATAATTCTTTTTTTACTTGTACACTATAGCAGAACTCGCATAGGTCGAGATTGTAGAAGTCCATTGATGTAGGTGCATTATATGAAATTGCGACTCAACTTTCCCATGAAACAGTGCATTAATAATAAATGTATGGTGTGAAGGGGCAATTTATATTAATAAGCAGATGTCTTTCTTATTTTTATTATTTCTTTTCACTCGTTATATCAATTTTTTTTACTAACTCTGTTTCGTTCTAAAGCATTTTTCTTTATTTTTTTATTTCTGATTATCATCAGTAAGATTGTCAAAATCGTTTGCCGGCAGGTTGCATGTTTTCAGATCTTTTTCCTTGTATCTTCATATGGAACAGTCTATCTGATGTTTTTCAAGTTCAGAGCGACTTATGACCGGTAAGATTTTTTTTCTTTGAGAAAAATCCTGTAATTTTAATTGAATATTGTTGAATTCAGTGATGTCTTATTTGTGAATGAAAAGTCTAACAAGTTTCCATAATGTTGTTCCGGAAGATGTGATTTTTTGTTCTCTTTTTTTATTAGGTGTTTGCTTTGCTTCTAATCATTTAAGAATTTTGCTCAGATTTTGTCTCCGTAATTTAATTCAAAATATTTTTTTACCTCATTTCAGGAGTCACGATACATTTCGGATTGAATTCTTGGTTATTCCTGCAGCAATACTTGCTTTTCTCATCAACCATCAGTTTTCATTTATGGAGGTGAATTGTGTTTTCTTGATGTTTTAGAAAATGTATTTCAGAGTTGCACCTGTTTTTCATGCAGCAGTTTTGAATTTATTTTGGATAGCATTTATTAGTTTCTTGAGATTAAGCTTAATTTCGAAACTTTCCTTACTAATTAGATCTAATTTTAGGGTTGCAGAGAGGGGGCACTGGGCCAAAGAACTAATAATTTTTGGCGAATTATTAGGAATATTCTCAGCTTGAATAGGATGAAATTGAGATATATGCGGTATCAGTTGAAACCAAGAAATACAATGATTACTAGTAATAAAACCATTGTAATCAAAATAGTAAAGCCAAAAAAGTAATCTTTGTAGGTTTTATCAATTACACTTCCAAAAAATAGTAGTAAGCACTGCGTGTCATCATCATTCCTTGGTGAAGTTTTCCCTCAAAATATCACTAGGTATTTAGATTATAATTTGTAATGAACGGTATGCCAGCGATATACCGTTCGATAATGGTGAATCGGATTTTGTTGCAGTATGTAGCCAAATGGTTTTATAATTGTCGTGTTTTATTTTTTATTATTACTAATTTTTGTTAACTAGATTGCCTGGTCATTCTCCATATATTTGGAAGCAGTTGCCATTATGCCTCAGTTATTCATGCTTTCACGTACTGGGAGTGCGGAAACAATTACTGCTCATTATTTATTTGCATTGGGGACATATCGCGCTTTATATATCTTGAACTGGATATATCGTTATTACACTGAAGAATTTTTCGATCCTATTGCAACTGTTGCTGGTGTTGTACAAACTGTACTTTACGTCGATTTTTTCTATCTGTATGTTACACGAGGTAATATTTTAAAGTTAGCTTTTTTGACAAATCTTTTTCGATTTTTTTTTTACTAGACGTAGTTTTAATTTGTTCCGTTTCTTCTTTTCTTTTTATCCCTTATCTGTTACGTTTTCGGAAATTTCACTGTGAATTTTCATCGTACATTTCGGTTTTCAGTATATTTAACTTGTTTATTTTATTTAGTGATTCGAGGATACAAAAATCTGGAGCTTCCCGCTTAGTCTTTTGGTTATCAAGGATCGCTTCTTCACTGCTTGTGTTTAATAGGAATCTATCTTTATTTGCTTAAATAATTTTAAATCGGTGTTAAATCAATTGTCGATGGTTTTTTTTTTTTTCTTTTTTTTTTTTTTTTTTAACTTCAGTGCACATATCTGCAGTTAAAAGATTTTAATATTTTAACTGGAGTGGTTCGGTTCCAAGCAGTCGTTTTCGATACGTCTTAAAACAATAAGTGCTTGGAAGTTTTAGTGCTTGTGTGATATCTGTGAATGTTTTAATATTTCCGTAAAATATATCATTTAGCAGGTTGTAATTTAAATTGGAAGTGCTTATTAATCACTTATTTCGGGAAATTGGTTTTATTCTTCTTTAAAAAGTGAATGTAGGTTTCTTGTCAGTTTCCCATTTTTTTACTGATTAACAATCAATGCACGTCGTCATCAACGGTTCTTATACCCTGAGGTTGAAGTTTTATCCAAGTACATGACTTTCGTATGTCAATAAGGTAATATATGCTGGATTCCAGAGCTGTTGTTTTTCTATTTCCTCTTTCTAATATTGTCTATACACCTTCACCATAGTGAACATTAACAAACATTAGCTTAAAAATTCAGTGAACCCTAAAAGTCACTTTGAATTCAGCTTCAGAAATATAAGTGTAATTTCTCAGGAAAGAGGACTGGATTCAGTTGCAAGCTGAAGTTTTGAAGAAGCTATCCAGTACTAAAATTGGTTCTTTAGCGATGGAAAGTTGTGGCAGGAACGATAACTTTTGAATCGAAATTTGGCCTGATGCACCTAAAAACTGTGTCGTCATTCCTGCTTGGTTCAATGAAATGCACGAATTATTTTGGCTACTCACAATAGCTATCGTAGATCGTTAAAACGTATGCCAAGACTCTCTTGTGATACTTCGATTCTTCGATGAAAATATATTTTGCGCGAGCTCAATGTCCCAAATGTGTCGTTATAAAAATAAGATTTTGGTTATGGATGTAACAAATGTATGTGAAAAGACTTATCTACAAAGGATAATTTATTCGTCTTATTTGTACTTGCTTCATAGAATGTAATAGCTCGTTTTCAACAGTACTACCATCGATGGCTCGATCCGAATTATAAGTCATTCAATTATCTATTTGGAATTTGATGTCCCAAGTGTTCATTATTCCTCGGAGGCGTACTTGTCTCATTTCGCTCCATGTCGCTTGCATTTTCATTGCTTCTTTCTATAAATCATCTTTAAACCAGTAAATTTTACTTTCATCAAGTAACTAAACGTTTTTCAGGATGTTATTTTGAATTTTTGGCAATGTGTATAAATAGAAAGTTCCTTTAATGCTTTCGCGATAGGTTTCACCCGTATGAAATAAATTGTTCCGTTCTACTGAGCAAATGTTTTGTATTTATGTTTACATGGTCGTAGTAACAGTGCACTATCAGATGCATATTTATCGGGGAAGATATTTTCAGTGGTCTTAAAAGGCGGGTTTTCAGAAATATCGAGGTTTTCATGAAAAAGTGATTTCCATAGGAAAGATTGCTGAATAGGATTCCATTTAAGAAGTTGGTCCGCAAAAGTCCAAAACATACTGCAGACAGTATTAAAAGTTACATATTACATTATAGTCAGATTCAGTGCTAACATTTAGGAATATTTGAAAAGAGATGTAGATTATTTGCAAATTCTCAAACATTATCCTTTGACAGTGAAAAGTTTTCTTTCTGTTCATGAAAGCAATTTCTTTGTGATGATCTTATCGGTAAAATTGTGCTTGTTCACAAAAATTTTCGCAGGATTTGCTGATTAATCTGTTGACGAACCTGTTTTGTGAAAAATTGAAATCATATCAGATTGGGAAGAATTTTATTCCTTCCTCCGGTGGTAATTCACATGAACAAAAGTTCCTCCAAAGCCTAGTAATTCACGATGTTTACCTGTCACCGTAAAAGAACTCGAAACCTGTACATCCTTGCCAAGGGACGAAGTTATACGTTAGAGTTTTGAGGGAATGTGGATGATGGAAGGGGACGGAACAGGTTGCAAAAGAAATTACGGAATAAGCCACTATAAAACATCTAAGGATCCGTGTTATATACAATGCCACGGGATCTCAAGGCTCGTTCCACATTATCATTGAATACAATAATGGCTTCGTTTGTAGCTAGTTCCGAGATAATCTGGAGAAGCCTATACGCTCCTCTGACTTTCGATTCTCTTCAACATCCCTGAAGCTCAGAATTCCTTTGTAAAATATCCTTTCCGACTTTCTTTTAGTTATTTTGCATATACGGGGATAGATAAGAAATCTCAAACTAATCCCGATCTCAAACTAAATGCATGACCATATTTCATGAAAATCAACTTATTACCTATCCCGGATACCCCCTCAAGTTGTCTTTTTCGGCTAAAAAATCGGTGATCTAAACTCAAGTACGCTTCATCCTGAAATCCCAATAGTTATTGGGAACTCCCTCAATCTTTGCACTCCTTTTGAAAGAAAATTATAATGAAAATGGTTTCGGGTGTGCAGCACTACTTGCTTCCCCAAATTTGGAACAGATTGCACAACTTTATCTCATAGATGATCACTATATTACAGCAAACGGCATTTTTTTTCAAAGCGCAAATATTTGGCATGTGGAACGTATATGAATACTAATAATAGAAACGCAAAAAAAAAGCACACAAATCACAAAAGGCCTGACAAAATATAGTTTGTAAAAATCTCGCTACTACCACTTAACATTTTCTGATTTTTATACTTTTCAAAGCTCTAAAAGTTCCCAAAATCTAACAGCAAAGGCTTGAGAGAATAAAAAAACTGTTCCCTATCTATCCTTCAATAAACCGACCACTGCATTTGTTAACCCCTGTACAGCTTTTCTTTCCCCCTCAATCTCCTGGAAACTAACAGTTGTATCGTATGATATGTTTCATTCTCCAATCGTGATAAAGAATTTCTGAGCAATTAATGCTGTTACGTTTTGCAGTAAAAGTAAGAACAGTGAGTGGTACCGTGAATGACAAAAGCCCTTTGGTTTCACAATTTGGTTACCTTAATTACCACACTTTTGAAATCCCCTGCCACATATATAAAATCACGCGCATAAAGCTTACGGAAACTAAAAAATTTGAAACTAAGTGGTGTCATGGAGAGCCAAACATTTCTTGGACCGCTGGGCTTCTGGACGGCTGTTTCTTCAGCAAAAGCTATCTTCTATCACTTTTCAAGAAACTTCAAAAATGACATGTACACCAATAAAAAGTGGGAAAAAATTTACGAAGCTGAACTGAAACAGTTGTTATAGAACGACTTAAATAACAGAAACATCAGCAATAACGACCGCATTGGTTCGAAAAACAACCTTCGAAAGCAACAGTATGTGTTCAAGTCAGACGAGCAATAAGCGGACCTGCCCCCGGCATCAATCGTGAAATATTTCTTGACAAAATTAAAATAATAATCATAGGAACTCTGAACACTACCTGATGGTGTGTTCGCCATCCCTGCTAATTATGACGTCTAGATAGAAGTTTAAAGATCATCCGCTGTACTTCACCGCTACACTAGCACCGTGTTTCACATGACAATCTCAATCACTTCAGAGAAAATTAACGACTACAGGAAGGACATTTTTTTCAACCATTTTCTTAAGCTAATGATATACATCAAAACCAGTGCACAAAGAAATCAAAATTCTATAGAATGAAGAAGCAAACAACAATTCTGAATTAAAGCAAGTTTTTTGAATTAAAAAAATATATAACAACTCAAAAATTATTTAATTTCAACAGAGCATGAATAAAAATGTACTCACTACTCCAATAATTTTGAATTTTGGAAAAAGTTGGTCAAGTTACAGAATTCAAACTAATATTATAAAACTAGCACAGCAACCCTCAGAAATACGTAAAATGCAATCACCACAAACACACAAAAAAAAAAATCAATGATTTTAATAAACCACATTTGTCTAGCGCTGTAACCCAAAAGCCTAAGAAAAAACAAGACTTTCATAACCCTTTCTAAAAGAGAAAAAACCCCATCACTGGTTACTCACTGGTTACTAGATAAAAACTTTAGAAGAGTTTCGCTTTTCGTTTCAAATTAATTCTTTTCCACTCCGGTAACTTATAGAACTCAATAGGACTCATGTTGAACGTCTCTTCAAACTGGTTTCTGTTCAGATGCCGTTCTAGATGTGCGCGATCCACATCATCTGGTAATTTCTTGTTAGATGTTTGCAAAACGTTCAGCGGATAAATTTTTGCTGGTTTACTCATATCTGGCAATGAACTTCTCAAAGTACCACGACTCCCACCTGTACCAGCACCGTTTGTGGTACAAGTACGGTAGTCACCTGGCAAAGTACCACTACGTCCCAGCAATTCTGAAATGGGTACAAAATAGAGGAAAACCTAGAGACTAAAATAGAAACATTGCTAGATGTCTCTTCCTGTACTAAAAACTTGTAGGAAATCCAAGATGATTTACCGATTTTCGTAGAAGCTCATCGTCTGCAACCTAAGTAATAAACACATAAAGAGACTCATTCTCCAAGTTTTCAGAAGCAAATATTACAGTTATATCGCGAATATGAAAAGATAAGGTTTGGGAAACATCTCCCAACAAAATTCGTCAAATGTAAGTAAGTATCGATCTAAACTAGTGAAACTTAATTTCGAATACTTAAGCTTACGGTCAGAAAAGTGAGAGCTAATTGTCGTGTTGAGAACATCTAAGGAAACATTTTGCCCATAATGATAACCATCCGGTAGCGTAGCTGATCGACCAGTCATTTCGACGCATGCCCTCGGAATGTGGAAAAATGGTATTGATGTTGTCGCCGCTTTATCCGTTTGTCTCTGCCAATAAACCCATGGTTTCGGTCGATTCACATGACGAGAAGGAGCTAAAAAACTTATGACTTTTTCAAAAACGAGTTTCTGGAAAGAAGTTTTTTAATTTATAACAGACTAAGACTAGAAAAAGCACTAGCAAATACAAGCATACATGCATTTACTGGAGTGTCATAACGAAATCGCAAGTGAGGCATCTTCTTGGCAGATGGTGTACGGCTTGCATTTCTTGGATCCCAGTGCAGAGGCAATCTCAAATGATAATGGTAATTATATCTATTATGCAGTTATTAAGAGAAAATAGGAAGGCAGAGCAAACTTTAAGCAAACCGATGTGGAAAGATAACCTTTGTTTCTTATGCACTTCTTCGAGATTTTGCTTAATAACACGAGCAATTGACGAATCTTTGTCATAAGTATCTAACTGCTCCACTGCTCGCCGTAACTTCTCGTCATTAATTCGATTTGACTCTTCATAATCATCTTCATCATCGTCATCATCATTTTCAACAGATGACCATGAAAGGTGGCGTTTAACATCTTAAACGAGGTATTTAACTAAAAATCAGTAAAAACAATGCATGGAATTTGCTTCCACTCAGTCAAAACTTAGTAAGTATTAAGAAGAGCATTTTCCCCATATTCTGGCAGGTCGATTCAGATTCAGAACATATTTTTCAATAAAAAAAAAAAAAAAAACTACAGTCAGCACAAACAAAAATAAACGGTTCAAACGATTAAGGCCTAAGTAAATGCAAAGTCGTAAACATTTTTTTGAGCGAGAAGAAAGAGGAAAAGCAATGTCTTCTACACAAAAAAAGTCTGCAAAAGTCACGGCTAATCAATTTTAGTTTTCCTCCTGGATACTTGCTCTAGACATCAGTTTACACTTTATTTCTAAACTTCTTACTTGAGTAAAACGACTTTTTCAGCTATAACAAAAACTTCGTAATCATCGAACTGTTACTAGATCTTATCAAATCTTCAAAAAAAAAGAAAAAAAAATCGTCACTAATTCAATACGAAAACAAACCGTCCAGTGCATAAGGGTATGGTGGCGCTGGAAAGTCCGCTCGCTCAATTGGTGGGACAATACCAGGTTCCGGAGCATGCCCAGCCGGATAATGGGCCATCTCAATCGGTTCTTCATTATCCATATGCGGTGATCGTGGACGTGGAGCACTTTTTTCGAGATCTTCCGCTTAAACATAAATTTCAAATTATAAGTGATTTCGACCCTTTTTAACGCAAGCAATAAAAAATATAAAAAGTAATATGAAGTTTTCTTATAACGTGCTTTAAAATTCCAGCCAAGAAAGAAAATAAAACTCACTTAACCGTTGCATTCCTGTTTTCAACATTGAAAGCCGTGATTTCCGGATTTTAATTGGACCTGGAAAATAACGATCAAGAAAATACCTTTTATTTCATGCAGCACAAAGTTACAGAAATTCTAACTAACCGCAAAAATAGCTCCACGATCTGATTCAAATCAAGCATAATTACCCTGAGGAGTATGAAACTGCGCAAGCTGTGGTGGATGGGGTGGGATCGGTTGCTTCAAATACGTTTGCTCAGCCTCTGGCAATAGATACATGTATGTCAAATGTTGGCCAAAATGCGAATGATATTTTGGTTCCTCACGAGCATCATTTAGTAGACCTGTTAACTGGAAATATGGGCATCAAACCAAGTACACAAACTCACAGTAATTTAGAATAGTTGTTCAAGGCGAAAATATTATGCTATTTTATTTGGTTTCCAAGATATGACAAGCAAAGATCAGTAGTTACGTCCAGTATATTGTAGTTATAATAAAAGTGCAGGAAGTAAGCATCAAATCGATTATTAAAGATTATTTTCCCTTCTGGAAAAAAGAATATCTTAATTTGTGTTTTCGGACGCACGAAATGACCAATTCTGGAAACTTTCCAGCTTTTTTTTGTTTGCAAGGAAAAAGGTCCCATATCCCATAATAACATTACACATATGAAACCGAAGCAAGATGAAAAAGGATGCTATGCTCGTCCGCTATAAGTGTTAATTTAACTCATAAAATTCCACCTGCAAATAATCCAAGTCACTGACATAAGTACAAAACATATCAAAATAACATACTGCAATACTTTCTGTCACTTTAGTCTGCTCGCAACCTGGATGCCAAATTTCATCACCCTGCATGTACATTTCCTCTCCATCACCAAAGCGTTCACCGCAACGTGAACAACGAGCACAAGTCGGGTGAAACTTGTAACCTCCAGCCTAAAGCTGTTATTGATATTTGAAAATTTGTAAATCTGAATGTAATCTTCAATATATTTTCACACACAAACGAACCAGCTTTTTTAAACTACATTACGTTACACTTCGCGATTATAAAATGGTCTAAGTATCAAACACCAATGAAATCTGAAAACCATCTAATGCACAGAATACACATATTTCAAAACAATTTAAAAGTCCGCTAAACTACACACTTGCAATACTTTCCCAGCAATGTACTTATCACATTCATAGCACCGGACACCATATTTCGTATTATAATCTCGAATACAAAGTGGTTTGCCATCATGTGTCATGTATTCGCCTTGTAAAATGGTAGTGCATTCAGAACATTTAAAACACCAAACATGCCACTGTTCTCCAAGTGCCAGCAACACCTGACCACTCTGCAGTGGCTGTCCGCAAGATGCACATCCTGAAAAGCTTTGAAATTTGATCTGGTATTCGCACCAACCACAATACCGATCTTGATATGCACAATAAAATTGATCACACTCGAGGAAGACCAAAAACGTGAGGCAACAAGCACATACAACAATAAATCAAAAGCAAAGGCATCAAAAGTTAAAGCAATTCTAAATTAAACCACGACACCTGCAGCAGAAACTTGACGAATATCTGCAGGAGAGATGAGAGGAGGTGATGGTTGACCTGGCGGGATAATCGGAGAAGCTGGTGATAAGGAAGTTTCGTCAGCATGTTTTAGATTTTGTTGTTCAGCTTTCACTTTCAAAGGCACAGATAATGCTCGAAAATCTTCGGCACACAAAAACTGTCCTTCTGAACCCGTGTAATAGCCAGTTTCCCTCAATGATCTTGAACACTCTAAAAATATTTTTCTTACTTCGTTCGTAAAAGAATAGTAAAGAAACTACGATGCTGAAAGAAAGTCACATGAACTGATTTGATATTCAAATAAATTCAAATAAAACTGGAGAGAATAATGTAACACATGAACCACAAACAGTGATGAAATTCTATTTTCATGATTTAGAACAAACAAAACAAGGAGTGCTATGAAAACTTCAAAGAACACACTAAAATATTTTAACCGGCAATCCAACTTCTCATAAATCCCTTCATTTCATACTTACTTAAATCTTCTGGATGATTTATCTCAAATAGAATAATTCAAAAAATGACATTAAGTCATTTAGAAAATGGTAGACAACAAATAGGTGAAATGTTGAGAGACGAAATGAAAAAAGAACTACTTAAAAAGAATTAGTCGATTCTATTATTCCTTCGGAAAATAAAGGGATGTCTTTCCGTCCATTTGCGTGCACTACAAATCTCCAAGAAAAACTTTAGTCTCAAAACAAACAAACAGACTGGAACATATTTCCTACAGGCTACTCATTTCAAGCAATTTCAAATGAATTTACATCTGTACATGCAACCTCACCACTTATTATGAAAGAGCTGCTTCTGCCTAGAAATTAAATCGCCTCTAAAAAAAAAAGTGAAGAATGCAGCTATAAGCAACTAAGTTTCTTGTCGACGGTATTTTTATATTTGTGACCAAAAAATGAATAACTGAAGAATTATTGCACTTTTAGAGTCGACAACCTCAATTTTGTTAAACAAAATATTGAAAGCGAGCGTTTAATCAAGAACTTCTACAAAAAAGAGGAAAAAAAAAGAATCCGAGAATCTGAAGTTCAGGAAATCTACTTCGTCCCACACTCTCCAGTGTGAACAATTTAGATGTAGCAAATATTTCGTGTTACTAAAACAGATTGATTCTAATGACTTACTCGCACATTTAAAACAAGAAATGTGAATATATTTCTCGCCATCTGCCTTTAAAATTTCGCCAATACATTTCTTTCTACATACGTAACACTTCTTTCCTGCAAAAGTAGTCGACATAACTTTCGTAATCCGTGCAAACGTATTATATGAAACAGTTAGGCATGCGGTTTAGTCTGGAATCCATTGAAGATATACACCCCCTTTTAATAATCCCACCATTTAAAATAAAAGATCACTATTGAAATTTGTTTAGCTACTTTAACAGAAACACATCACTCAGATGATAGCTGATGGCAATTTACAGACCACCGTAGCTGAAAGCAAACCGATCATTCTCAACATAACAGAGATAATCAGTGTCTCGAATTATGAAATAAATTAGAAGACAGGAAGAAAGGAAAGTATAAATGAACCAAGTGATAACCTCACCAATTCATGTCTTGCTCTTCGATGCAATTGCAATATAAGAGAAACATAATATTAAATTTATTAATTCCTCTGCCAAGACTGTACCATTTTCTCAGAAAATAAGGAGAAAATGGGAATCTATAGGTGGTAATTGTTAACATCTCTAGTTTGAACGTTTGACTATCAATTATTACCATTTGAAAAAAAAACTGACTAACCCATTGCGACACACAGACAGCCGAGCCACTCACCCACTACTCACTCCACTGGATGAATAGATAGATCACTTGGGTATCGAACTGTGTGAGGATGCGATGTGGAATGAGCACTGCAGTTGCAGTGGCAGTAGCATAGTTGCAGAGGCCAAGCAACATAACCTAGTGTGGAAGAGGGCGGCGCAGAGGTGCACACTGAGAGTGCTCAAAAATCGATCAATGGATGTTGTTGGTTGGTGTAGACGAGCAGCAGGCGGTGGTTGTTAACCAGGACAAAACGATTTCTGGTAATAGGACAGCTGAGCAGTGCTAGAACTCGTCGAAGACAGTGGGGATTTTGGCATATCAGTGCTACGGTAGGTTTAGCAGCTGTCCACTCTCGGATGATTGTGGGAGTAATGGGACACAAAATTGTGCCCGAGGAAGAGCAGTTCCGGGTTCTTCTGTTCTGCTGTCTATGCAGTGGACGGGACACATTTAAGAATATCTTTCGCGGGCCGTAAATTCACTTTCTTTTGCACTTTCAGTTGTTCATATTATCCGCTCGCCCTTCCGTTTTAATGCAGTAGTTCGACGGAGCGAGGTCAAATTATTTGAAAAACAATACTAAGTTTCTTTGGGAACTTTGGAACTAGGCCTTCCTAATATCAGAATGAGAATAATTTTATCTTTTGGCGCTTAATTTATTCGAATTAACTTGAATTGCCGGCATATGTTTTAACTTCTATTGTCATTTCTTTGAATTTGATTCTTTCTTTGTTTATGCTCCTTTTTCAGTCATACAGATTGGTTGGTTGCGGTGATTTTATTCCAGATGAAATAGATAATGACAAACGCTGGTTGTGGGAAGAAAAGGAAAAGTGCCCTCTTCGTATGCTTAGGTGAGCGCATATTTTTGCACAACTTCATAAATACATTACAGTAAGAGATAAACTCAAGGCCTATATTAAAGCGACTCATCTTGAGAACTGCTCATTTGACATTCTTTAAAAAAGAGTCAGAAGAAGATAGCAGTGATGGCGTACACTCGTTATCTGCTGACAATAGTGCACAATTCATTCCGTTTCTCTTCATAAACGAATTTTGAAAAAATAAGTGTTGCTGACTTGTTACCACATCGAAACTGAACTCTTAGTACAGGCAATATTTGTCGATCACCAATGGCTGAAGGAATTTGTTTGGATCTCATCAAGAAGAAAGGTCTTGAAGATAAATGGATTGTGGATAGTGCTGCAGTTGCCAGTTTTCATATTGGTAAATCTCCGGATAAAAGAGCGATGGCAACATTAGCAAGACATGGGATTAAAGATTACGAACATAAAGTTCGCCAGGTTTGTTCTGGTTTATTTTATTTATTTCTCCTTTATTATTTTATTTTCAAGACATCTATAAGGGAGAAAAGGAAACTTGTACGCTAAATTTACGGTTCTTATGTAAAAATTATATTTTTTGATATAAGATGGTGTGTAGCTTAGGGTCGAATTGAATTTTCATATGCTTCCTTGTTTGTTATTGTAGTTGGTATAGACAAATACATTGAGTGAAAGATCTGTTATAACGATTTTACTCGCTAGTAGCTAACAACACGGTACACAAGTATTAATCTTTAGCAACAATAAACTGATAATTTCGTAGAATGTATACGAATGAGGTGAAGAAAATGAATAAATTGATGGTGAATTTGAAATTTTAAATAAACCGAACTGAATGAGTGTGAGAGAGCAGCAGCGGAACCATAATTTGCTGGTACGAAAAACTGAATGAAATAAAGGATTTAAGCTCTTATATAGTGGGCAAACTGATTTGCAACAAGCGCATGATTATTTGAGTAAAGAGCTATCAGATCATTCTTACTCTTTATTTAGTAAGAGATGGGTTTTAATATTGTCAGTTACTCCAAGAATGACTATTAAATTAGAAAACTTTTACAATATTTCGGCATTGCAAGCAAATTTTATTTGGAACAAAGCAATAGTTTTTAACATTAAAAAGTGCACATACCCTTTACTAAGAGTTGAAAATTTCTAGACAATCAAATAATCTCAGCAACAATGGGAAGGTGAATATTGGAATGATGATTGCTCAAATGAGATGCAATTTGAAATAGTTTTGATTTTTTCTTTTGTGTAGTAAATCTAGTGGGAATTCCTTTGAAGTTTTATATTTCTCTAAAGAATGTTCAATTAAGAAAATTTTAAGAAGATTATGGATTAATACAATTTTATTTGATATATTTGTAAGTTATTTGGATGTTCGCGGGATTTATTTCGAGTTTCATGACAGTGACTGACTCAGACTTTCAGGTGACTGACTCTGACTTTCGTGATTTTGACTATATATTTGGTATGGACGAAGAAAACATTGAGTAAGTTTAATACTTTTGCTGAGGAACAGTTGTATGCCGCAAAGCAGGTTGGAGGGAAAAGAGGTAGGAAAGCGATTCGAATCATAAGGAATAAAAATTATTTAGAGGAATACCCGTTCTTTGTGCTTTCTTTAAGAATCCCCACAACACCAACTTTATGCAAATAAATTTTTGAAGTTTTTCACGTGCTATATTTATATGATCTTTTTCGAACTTATCTCTTTGCGATAAACATGAATAGCAAGTAATATGAGTAACGCTTTAATTTTTGTTTTTCTTTAATTTGGACATTTCATTTGTGCATATTTATTATCCTTGTTACTTCCTCAGAGATCTGATGAATTTACGAAGAAATGTAAAAACCAAATCAGTTGTCGAATATCTAGGCAGGTATGATCCGGACGGTGTTTTAATCGTACCGGACCCGTTTTATAGTCATGGGATGCAAATGTTTGAGAAGGTAATTTACTAATTTTTCATTCATAGTTCTATTTGAGCGTTTATTATTGTATCATGGTATCCATGTGTCAGTTGTAATTTAGGTTTTTAAGCAAAGACAAGTTCTATAAAAAATGGCTAATTTGTTTCGGACTGCTGTTATTAATTATATTTTCAGGTTTACGAACAGTGTTTGAGGTGTTGCAGAGCATTTCTAGAAAAAACTCATAGTCCGTTGGCTTAACATTGTGAAAAAATGCCCATATCTTTTGTTTTCGTGCTTATTAATTTATCTGATTTTCATATGTTATTCGCATAATTGAATGAGTTGCAGCGTATTTGACCGCTGTTTTTTATTTATGTGCAATTCATTTGTGGAAATTTTTCTTTTTTTGATAAAAGAATGTGGATCCAATATAGATACTATTTTTATGGGCGTCATTCTTAAATTAATTTGGACAACTATTTTGAAAAAGTAAGCCTTTCGGTTTCAAAGTTGACGTTCTAAAAATTTTATCTGTCATATGTCACCATGTGATTTCTTATTATTACTTTACTTTCTGTTACTTTCCATTCAATCCAAATAAATTCTGTGCTAGATTTTTGATGTCTAGTACATTTCTTGTTTAGTTAATTTTTATACCGATTTTATTTTTTATTTATGGAATGTGCCGTTACCGTGGAAGGTGATCTCTTTCATCGTCGGTTGTTTTTTGCGCTTGTTAAAAACTCTTCAATGATGATTAGTTATAACTGTAGGTTGACAACTTGTGAAATCTTCAATTTTGAAAGTAGTGATGTCCTGAAATGATCTAGTACTAGCTTACGTGAGTCGTTTAATTGACACTACTTTCCACACAGTTATCTACAGAAAATGCCTGGTTTCGATTCAAGGATAATGTATCTGGTAATGAGGTCTGATCTTATCACCGATTTGAAATGGTCGATTGGTGCAGTTGTAGCGCAAGCTGCACATGCGGCAACTGCATGCGTATGGACATTTCGTGAAGATAATGAAGTAATGGAATACATGAAAGATATTTCTCACTTGAGAAAGGTTACACTAAAGGTAACATTTCATTTATGTCACAACAAAACGCTCTTGTCTCTTTGGCGAGTTGCATACAGTGTTCTCGTCTACATATTTATGGTTTTGATCGTTGGTTTGTACTGTCAATTGTGCTTTCAGTTTATTTTATCCTTCATTATGCGTAGAATAATAAACATTTCAAACACTAAATAATAAAATGAAATTATATAGGTATCGAACGAAAGTGAATTGCGAAATGTCGAGAAGAGGCTACAGGACAGTAACGTTGATTATTATTTATGGACGGAAGACAGTATGGCCGTGTGCATTGCCCTCAAACCGCAATTCAGAAGTTCTGTTGAACAACATGTTAAACATTTGAAACTCTTTTAAGTAACATACTTCAATCTTCAGTTGACCATATCATACTGTGTTATTTTTTTTCCGCTAAAGTTTCAACTGTTCTTTGTTAAATATGAAAGTGAAGAGCATCTACCGAAAATTCTCATTTTTAAAATTAAATAAGTGGATCAAATAACTCTATTAAAGGGAAAAAATTTCTAAATAAAAATCGTTTCGTTTTTTAACTTATGGACTGTATTCATTCTTCGGGAACAACCCTCTCACAGAATACTTTTGGTACTTTTCTTGAATAAGCTTAATTTAGCGGAAATCTACTTCGATATCTACTGAGAACGTAACATCAAATAAATGTAATAAATAATTTGAGCTTCTGTTTGATTTTTCTTGGAAGTTGTGTGAAGTGCTTTTAGTGCTCAAAATTTTATGAATTGAATCTTCGTCGTTTTAACAAAATCGCATCGTACTCAACAGGTATTTAACGTTTCGGTTTAAGCTGCCGAATTCATTGGTTTTTATTTATCATTAAGAGAATGTGCAAACTTCTTTAGTTCTTTTGCAGAGATTGTTGGCTTTTGTCTCCTATGACTGCTTAAAAATTTTTGTAAATAAAAATAATTCCTAATGTCATACCTTCTGCCGCACTCATCAGCGTCACCTTCCGTTATTTACCCTTGACATTTTTCCGGAAAGAACTATTGTGCATCGGTATTCAAGTAAGAATTTACGCTTTTTTCCAGTTTTTGCACACGATTTACTTGACAGAGTTTTTATAGTTCATTTTGAAAAGTATTACAGGAATCTACTAGAAAACATATTTCAAATTAAAATTCACTAACAGTACTCCTCTATTTTCTACTTTCTCACCTAACATCAACAAAATACAAGTTATGAATGAACAGAAGAAACTAGAAAAAATAAAGACGATTTTTGAAAGTATGAGCTAACTGTATTTGTCAGTCCATAAAAAGATCCGATACGAACATAATTTAGCCAACCAAAATTTGCTTAATTCTCGTAGCTCGCACCTGTTAGAAATACTGAAGTAGCACATGTTCGAAATATTACACATGATACAAATATCACAATTTAAATTGAGCATTTTAAATATTGTCGTTGTTTTAACGGACTTGTTATGGAAGAACAGAATAAATTATCAAACTCGCCGGATTCATGCAGTCTTACATTTCAAAACAGCAAGAGATATTAAGAATAAGTTTCTTCGCATCTGAACATATTTTTCTAATTATTAATCATTTTTAAATATCAATTTCAGGTGCACCGTTGTAAGAAGCTAATTCTTGACTGCTTATTTAAACTTTTGATTCTATAAAAATTTTGGAGGGATTGTTTTTACCATTAAAGATGGGATGCATGAAAAAAATTGAAATGACAAGTGTTAAAGCTTAAACATATCTGAATTTGCAAAGTTCAAAAAATTCCGAAGAGGCATATCCCAATTTTTCATGCCAATAAATTAACAAACAAATAGAAAAAGGCTAACAAAGGAGATGAGAGAAATTAACACAGGTGGCAGTAATAATTAAAGGCAACGACAACCACGGTGGCAGCTCCAACTGCTAGTGGTACACCAACCAGAAGTATTGTAAGGAAAGATGTACGAGTAGATAATGGAGCATCTGGTTGCGGATGTAATGGATTTGAATCTACGCTGAAATCTTCGCAAATATTACATTCCAAAACTGCATTGAAACTTCTAGATCAAAATATATTATTGGTTATAAAAAGAGACGGTGATTTTACGATTCTAAAAAAGTTATCAAGGTTATTTGTTATTTTCAAAAGTTCTCTTTTATATTCGAAGTTTAGTTGAATTTTTTTTCATCCTGATAGCTGGACTTTCATTACTTCCTTATTAGTTTCGTTAACATCGCTATTATTCTGTCATTTAATTTCTGGTATTTGCATAAACGGATAATTAGAGACTTCAAAAATTTCGTTGCTTACCTATGTATCCGACTAAAAATGAGAGAACCACTGGGCACTTCATCTTCATGTTTAGCACTACTCCTGAGATATGAAAATGTATTACACAGAGGTTTATCGCAAGCGCACAAATGAAGCCACCTGAAGACAGTAAGTTGGTAATTTAGGGTGCAAATTTTCTTTAGTTTGAGAAATAAAAACTGCAAATCTATAAGACTTTACTGTATTTCTTACAGTATGCAATTTCTTTTCTTGTAAAAATCATCTATCTAATTTTTGCTATCTATGGGATGATAATTTAATTACATTGTCATTGTCAAAGCACACGATTGCATTGTCAGAGCTACACGAATTAACAAAAACTGAAAGTGAACGAAATATTAGAATACTATAAATCTGGCTATTGAAACTATGAACACTCCAGGAAGATGTGGATTACAGCACATGATCAAACAGTTGTTACAGTTATTTTCCTTGATAGGATGAAAATCGTCGTATTACTACAGATCTACCGACAACAGGAATATAGTGTAGTAGATGTTGGCTCAAACCTGATATCATATTGGTATAAGGCACTAATACTTAGCAAATTTAAGTCCAGTGGAACAAGTGGTCAGATAAAAATATAGTCCAAATGCTGATGTGTGTTATTAAACGCAAGAAAGTTTCTGGAATACGAATTCATATAAAAACAATGTATCTATTGTGTATTTTGTTCTTTCATCTCATGTATAAATCTAACAAAATGCGTAGCACACTGAACATACAAATGCTAGATAGCTGAGGCCTTCCCATTCAGTACAATTTTAAAAAAAGTATGAAATGCTACTCATTTCAGTAGCGGAACGTATAATTCACAATACAATGTGTGCTAGCACTCTGTCAACATCAATAGCATGGGAATGTTGAAATCTACATTTCAAGTCCATTACTTATTTTCGATGATAAACAACATTACCTCTTTTATTGATCTTGAATGCTTCATAAATATTTTTGCACTTTCACTTTGTCTTTCGCATCTTTCGTTTAAGTGAAGAAAGAAAACAAACAAACCTCCCGACATTTCTTCGGCAGCCAATCATCTCGGTACCACATGTTCGAATAACCGAATTGGAACTTTTGACTATTCCAACCAAGCATATGGTACTTTCACATACACCATACGGCACACAATGATCGTCCGTACAGTAGCATTTCACTGCACAGACAATCGTTGTTGAAATTGGAAGCAAGTAAGCAAAAATCGATGGAAGGTGCATAACGCACCCGCGAATCACTGGACCGCTTCAGCGACAAAATGCTGTGTGCTTATGTCTCAACCTTATACCTTCTTCAGTAAAAGATATCGAGTACAGTACACTTTCGTAGTGATCTTCCAGTAATAATCACTTACTGGCCACTTTCATAGTTTATCATCCATGCTATTTAATTCTTTTTGGCAGCATTAATACACTAGTTCCTTTGGAATAACAACATGTATGGAACGAGGTACCTAAAATAACACATTTCTGAGTTTCAAACTGTTATGAGATAAAATATTATGAACGAAACTTTTTCTAAAGCATCTAATTGGTACCAAATCATCTTCGTCTTTAATACACTAGAAGATCAAATAATCATCATTATTACATAGTCTTAAGAAAATTTCCGAATACCTGAACTTTTATTTGCGCTTTTATTAAGCTTTTTTACATTTAAGCTTTTATGGCAGTCCGAAGTATCCAAAAATTAAAAATAGTAGCAACTGAAGAATCAAATTATCTATTTGCAAAATACTTTGACACCAAATTAACCTCAATGATTACGTCTTGTTTCCTATGAATTATAAGATGAGAGCGCTGCTTAACTAAGACCTCAATTTAAGAATTTAGCTTCAATGATCCATTATTTAGAAAAATCTGATAACCAGAACTTTCGCAGTACAGGGTCAATCACAAAAGTAAGATTTATTGTGATAAATGTCGAAAGCATGAAGTGATAGCGGAGAGCACTACAATATTCTAAGTAACTGGAATCAATAAATATGTGTCACTTCCCTATACTGCTAAATAGTTCAGTGGTGACTGCAATAAGCATCATGGATGACGGAAGCCTTTACAATATAACGAAAATAAAAGATTCAAGAAAAAAACCGGATTATTATAAAATAAATTTAAGATGCAATATAACAAGAGTATTAAGTAAATTTTGAGATTTAATAAGGAAAATACTAAAGCATGGAGAGAAATGAGAAAAAGGTTGTTGTAAAATCAAGGATTAATTAGCCGATCAAGGAGAAAAAACAAGAAACAGAAAATTGGAAATTGAATAAGGCTTCACTGTGGAACAATCAAAAGTCGTTCACCCCATTAAAGCGACAGCTTTGTTACTAAGCTAATTTACTTGAAGCGATTTTTTCTATTTTGGAGGAATTATCTATGATAATATTGTAAATCTTTCGCTAACTTCGGTCATATTTGTTTAATATCCTTAGATTTGTTGTTGATTCAACGCAAATTGTTATGAGTAAAAATACAAAATAAACAGAAGAATGAAAAAAAAAGTATTTTCGATATTTCGATAAAAGAATGGCAATGCATTTCTATTTGATATTAATCAGGATTGCTTGGATTTAAAACTAGGAATTAATTATTTTTTGACCGAGCTGTTATTATCTGCATAAATAGATATTACTAATTACTGGATATGTAGACTTATTCACACACACACCTGCTGAAAGAGCTATAAAATTATTTTTGCATTAATTTTGTTTTTTTTTTTTTTTCTTTTTTCTTTTTTTTATTGCGATATTAGCTAAATTAACACGGATCAATTTGAATTAAGGGAATTATAAGAAACAGTGAAAACGTGAACGTCTTTGAAGACATAACAGAAATATCCGAGCTTAAAGCCCCAAAAGAATTTTCGAACATAACCAAAACTATACCCTTGCAAATTCAATGATATTTTGGAAAATAAATTTACACATTCACTTTTCAAACAACTGCGAAAGTGCCTTTTTTCTCGTCTTCTTACCTTTTAGAAATAGTATAATGAGATGAATGATAAAAGCAGTCTAGTATGACAGTTCTTTTCAGAAAGCCTTTTTCCTTGCTAAATATCATCAGTCATTATCGAGTCAGACTGCAGATCTCGGCTAATAGCGTTTCCTTACGAGTATATCTCTTTTTAAATTACTTATATTATGAAGGAATTATTTCAAAGTTTGTAGAAGTTTGAAAAATAAATTTACTTAAGGCATTATGTGAGAAAATTTTATGATGTATCTACTGTATCAATTTATTAATGGCAATTAAATTTAATTTACATACTGATTTTATTAAGATTGCACTAGTGATAAACGGATCTGGTACAACTTCCATTTTTGACGTCATCATACTAAAAAAATTGAGACTTATTTAAATGTACATAAACTGATACATTTGTTAACAAAAATGGGAGTCCATTAAAACTATCAATAAAATATAAAACACTTCAAAACAACATTAATATAAAGAGCTATGCTATTCTTAGCATAGCTCTTTATATAGCAGAAATTTTGATGTTAGTAACACATGACGTGCGAAAATCGAGATAATTTTAAAAGTGGAAAATGTGTTTATGATCTAAAAATATACATTATAAGAGACTACATCTAGTACAATTTATGCTAATAATTCACACATACTACACATATGTGAATGGATCAATTTATCAGGTTTGGTTTTGATCTAGTCTTTAAAATAATTTATCGAATGGTAAGTGAAAGGAAGGAGAATGAAAGAGAGTTAGCAGCTTAATTGAATGAACTAGTGGTCATCTCCACCAGTGTTGTTTTTATGAAATGAAGTTTGTATAGTTTGTCAACGGACGACAACAAAAGGAAGTAGTAGGCAAGAAAAGCAGGCTTTGCAAAATATTGTTTGTTGGAGCACACGGTAATGCCTTAGAGTGGAGTCTTGGAGCGGAGAGAAAGCCTTAGCACTCACCCATACTACTCATTGATTTCCCATCGGTTATGTAAAATGATGTCTTTTTTAATCTGGAAAGCCAACAAAGCTTTTGAAGAAAGATCAAGAAGACAGCCGACATTGCTAACGGGTCTCTTACCAGTTTTAAGCTTTTATTACCCTCTATAAAGTACGTAGCTTCATTTCACTTTCATGTCATTAGATCTCTGTTGTACTTTCTATACAACCGTTCAAGCCTGGAAAGTTTGACACTTCAGGGATCATGATGACCTTTTGAGACTACATTCCGGTCCTTTCAAAGAGGGCATATCAAAATATACCAGACGTTTGTGTCACATAGAATATTCATGCCAGGAAGTTTCATGCAACCCGAATTTTCCTTATCGCCACTCTACCACTATCCATTAATAGTGGAGAAGGTGTCAACTATTGTGAGTTAAACTTGATGGTTATAAGCCTGCTGAAATTTGAAGTCTGATAACTTAAAACTGTAAAGGAAACTGAGCTGAACCAGTGTCTAGAATATTGTAAGATTAAAGTATGTTTTGTGAATGAACATTCTTTTACATACACCCAAACATAGTTGAACGCTAGTTTTAATCAAAAAACCACACCATTACAGCCTTTTAATGCAAAAAATCACCACTGTACTTTTGTATTTTTGTAACAAATAAAGTTTCTATAGTTGACTTTAGTCAAACGATTTCACACATACCATAATTAAAGTATGAACCATGACTTTTAATTCTCATAAAGAATTTTTTTTTTGAAGTTCGTTAATTTAAACATTAAATAGAATGCATAAAAAAGAAATTTGGAGTATTTTCCCTTGTAATATCAAAGCCGTCATTGGATCTGAGACCAAATATTTATGTATTAACAATAAATAGCTTAACGAATTCTAAAGGAAGAAAGCAAGACTGCTATAGACATATATACTTACTATTTTATAATTTATACAGCGAACTTACGTTCTCTGATATTCCTAATCATATTGAACTATATTCTTCGTTTGATTTCTGAAAACGGTCTTTTAATAAACTTTCGTTACTTACTATTCCTTGAGTTCAATGCGCTGCATTTTGGTCACATCTTAATATGGAAGTATTGTCAGGATATTTCCGTTACTTTATATATCCACTGTTCTTAGTGACATAACTCCGAATAGCACTACTTGTAGGTCATTCCAAAAGACTAGTGATACTAACTGTCAAAATGCTTATTAAATCCATTTCCTGACGAAATTGTTGCAACCAACAATTTGTTCAGGGAATTTTGACTTAGCATGAAACGTGAGCTTATTAATTTGACTCTACTGTTGATCATAAATGAAGCCATGCCCAACAAAGATAGAAAATTAAGGTCAAGACGCACTTCGATTATCATTATAAAGTAGTCCAATTAAGCGGATCAATTGTTGATAATATATGTTAAGCATTAATGAATCAGTGATTTATTTTGGAAGCAATAAATCAAAATTAACGCTCTAAATGGTTCAAGAATGTGAGAATAGGAATGGGATATCGATGGTGCACAAAATAAAGGAAGAAATTTAGTAAATAAAGGCTTGAATTTGAGCAAAAAAAATACAAGTCTAATATCTCACTTCAGGAAAAAAATATGCTTTTTTCCATAACAGTATTACGTCAAACGTTGTTTACCAAAATTATATATATATATTAAAATTCTGATCAACAAATTTTCAAGATTTCTTTTAGAAATTCTGAAACATGGAAATAAATAAGAGATGAATTAGTATTTTCTTTACAGTGAATTTTCATTTTCATCTATTCCTACAGTAATCCGGATTGTCCTATGAAATTTCAATCCAGCTAATTATTTCATTATGTACAGTGACCATCAGTACTTCGTTTAGTCCACACGAGAAATTTTTCAGAACAATAAATGCACAGACTATGTGATTAAGGATAGAATTCTTAAGAAACAGATGTTAGTACTTCACATAATTTATAAAATTCAAGAAATGACTGTGTTAAACGGGTGAATTGACAAGTACAAATATGAACGAACAAATAAATTTCAAAAAAGGAAAAGACGACCTATTTTAATAAATGTCACTTGTTTTTAAAATTCTGCATTTTCTAGCAATATCGAGTAAGAGAAGCAGAAATTACTGACAAATCTTTTTAACGTCCCAAACTTTTTTTGTATATTCTAAAAACTATGAGATCATATCAAATATGTTTTCATTGTTCCGATGACTAAAAAGTTTCGCTTTCTCTCTTAAAAAAAAAAAAGCGGTTATAATTTAGTCCTTGCTAAAATACAATTCAGCTGATGAAGTTAGT